ACCAAGGCCGTAACGAAGGTGAGGGGCCGGGACTTGGGACCGGGGCCGCGCGCTTGCGACCATGTGCCCGCCCCCGCCGGCCTGCCTGGCGGAGCGTCCGGGAGGGGCTTCCCGGGGCTGGTCAGCTACGGACCGGTGCGGAGTCTGGCCACGTGACGTGGGCTTACCACGTTGGGCCGGCTTGCCTTCTCCCCACGGGACCCCTTCCACCTCGCTCCCGACCCGCCTCTCTGCACCCCGTGTCGCTCGACTTATGCCAACACCCAGGCAAGCAGCACCTTCGAGGGGAAATTGGTCTGAGTCCGAAGTGCCCAGCATGGAGGAGCATTTATCGAGTGACGTCTACTCTGAGTAATTTAGTATTCTGACTTCAGCCCAGTATTCGGAGCTGAATTTTCTAACAGTCGCATTTGTGGCAACTCTAATTTGGCATTACTCGGTCTCAGCCTGTAGAAGTCACATGGCAACACTGAGGTAGACATTTAGTTGTGGACTTAACCATTGACTTATTCATTCGGCTTTTCCTGCTTGCTTTTAAAGTAACAGCTCTCGTGAGGGAACCCAGTGGAAGTAACTGTCTGATGGGCGCGTTTGTCCTCCAAACTAGTCGACCTCAGGATCAAGCAAGAACTTCTGCTAGGAAACGAGTCCATACTTTAGGTTCCAGTCACTTGATCCCTTTTCATAGTCTGACATTTGCTTCGTGATATTTTTATGAATACCTTTAATTAATCAAATGGTATGTATTTTACAGGATGAAGATGAGTGGAAAGAATTTGAGCAAAAAGAGGTTGATTACAGCGGCCTCAGGGTCCAGGCAATGCAAATAAGGTATGATCTGGTTACAGAACTGTTTAGATAACCCTTAGGATAGGTATTGTATCTTTGGTTATTCTTTAGCCCCAAAACATCATCATCATAGCCTTGTGCTATAGGTAGTCTTATGAGACCTCTAGTGTAGTCCTTCTCTCTGTGATGGCAGTCATTCTATATGTTGATCAGAATTAGCTGCCAGCTCCAAAATCCTGAGAGAGCTTGCCTACTTCCAGTGCTGGTTAGGTTATTTTTGAGACAGCTAAAAATGATTTTGTGGTTTCAAAATACTTTTAATATTGGTGAGTTGAATTTAGTTTTTCTTTTTGTTTCAGAAATAGCAAGTTTTCATATATTTTCCAATAAACAGGTTAATTGAAGCATACTTACAGAGAAGAACAGATGTTACACATGCACACAGTTAACCAAAGTCAAGAAACTGAACATTATTGGTAGAGAAGAAAGCTCCCCTCCAAGTCCAATATATGGTAGTCAGTTTTAGGTTCATATAAATGCCATGTTTTGAAGGGCTGGTAAAGTAGGAAAAGTGATTCCATTGGTTTAAAATTAAAAACCGTTTATTCCCAATTTAAAGAAAGAAATGATCCCAATGATCTGCCTCCAGTTTGAAGTTTTCAATTTGTATACATCAGTGACCATATGGCATAGTGGAGGAAATAATTTTCCTTTTTGGAATACTGTCTTTTGATCTCTCTAGGTGATAATATTTATGGCCTTAAATAACTCATTGAAAAACCAGAGCTAATATTTTTGACATTTGTCGAATACTTAACACAGCTGGGCATTAATGTCCTAGGTTCTTTAAATCATTTCATGAGCTTAGGGAAACCTGATTGGTAGTGGGAAACTTTAGGAAATGCAACCTCTCTACTCTTAAGATTCCTTTGTAGTAGTGTTAAGTAGAAGTGATTAGATTGGAGTTTTACTTCTTAACCATTTGGGTTTGTGGAACTGCTTACGTGCGTGCATATGTGTGTGTTTCCTCTCTCTTGTGGAATAAGGCTTTTGGTCTGCCTTTCTGACTGCAGGCCCCAGACTGAAGCTTCTTGAAGACTTGAGCAACAGGAAGGATAGTGTTTGGTCATGTTGAACTTAGTGAGCAAGAGCAGCACTTTGTGAAGGGAAAAGGTTTCAAGTTCACTGAATGTTAGAAATTGATTTTGGTATATTATGAAAGATATTTAAACTAGTTTTCTGTCATTGAATATATATCCTATATCCACAGTCAGAACTATTTCAGTCTTCATATTTGGCTCCTCCTGAGATGGTGAAATATTTCTTAAATTACTTATATCTTTCATCTTTTCCAGGGACTAGTATAAGTATTTAAGTTCTATCTCAATTTTCCCATTATCCATACTAATTGCCATTTTTCAATTTGGTTGTTTCTTTGATTTTTTTTTTTCTCAAGAGTTCTAATAATTCCACAAGTCTTCCTCTAATCTACTAACAAGAAACTGCTTATGTAGATCCTCAGTCACTATGGAGCCTGGGGGTCTGTATTTCTGTTTCCTCTGTAAATCATTCAATATAGAGAACTCTTAACAGCTTTCAGGAAAGGCTTGAGAATGAGAAGCCATTTGAGATTTAATAAGAATAACTAAAATTTTCATTTTACATACTCAATATTCTTGTAAACTGTAGTAAGTTTTCTTTACAGTAAAAGTAGGATAGGAGTTCCCAAGGAAAGAGATCTTTAATAGGAGTAGTTACTCACATATATGAGATGAAGTTGATAATGTGGCACAAAGATGGACTTTTGGGAACGGACAAACTTGGGTTTACATTTTAGTTCTGCTACTTGTGTGACCTTGGGAAAGTCACTTTAGTTTTGAACATTGGTTCTTATCTGCAAAATTGAACCAGCTACTCAGGATTGTTGTGAGGACTTTAAACAAGATGTAAAATACCCACTGAGTTAACATTAATCATCATCTCCGTTCAGTGGGTAAATTAGAATGACTTACTCTGCTATTTACCCACGAGGCACCTGATTTGTAGTACCAAGATTTGAGGAGAAGGGAAGTGGAGTCATATACGGTTATCATGACTAACGTCAGACACTGGTGAGTCAGTTCACTGTGGACATAATAGAAGAAAGTGACATGTTCAGATTGGCTTTAGTATAACCATACAAAAATCCTCAGAGTGTTCAGTGTTGCTGGCAATTTTGAATGATTATCTTCTATGGCTTTGTCCTGTTTGGGCAGAAGCCCTTAGAAGGAAAGAGAAATGAGATTTTTTTCCTTTCTCTGGGATTTGGGAGGTAGTAGTGTTTATGCCTTTAATCTGTTATCTTCTATCTGTGTGAGAGGCAATCTGGCTATCTCAATGTGGGCAAGGAAAATGAAACTTTGTAAGTTGACTTAAAATATTTTGAAATTCACAGCCTGTAGTCTTAAATCTTTTCTTCCAACTTTTTGCTTTGAAAAATTACAAACTTCAGAAAATTTGCAAGAATAGTAAAATAAGCGCCCATGTGTTCTGCTTACATCTACCAATCGTTTTTGCCACATATGCCTTATCTTTAGTTATTAGCTGCAGATACTGCATACAGTCTTCAAGTTCTTGACACTAGTCCTTATAGTAGATTAGTAATAAGCTCGACCTTTATCAAAGATAAGTGCACATTTGAAAGGGGGAAATTTCAGTAGCAGCAAAATGCTGTGGTAATGTCCTATCTCACATTTACCAACTAGGTCAAGAATTGAGTACCAAGAGTATTGTTATAAGGACGTGTCAAATTTTGTGTGTAAATTAATAGATGTTAATCAAGGTCATGTCATTATTTATAGATAAGTTTTTGAGAGGGGAGCCATTGAGATGGTGATAAAAGAAGGGGCCTAACATTTGAGTGTAGATTATTGGTTAATAGTGAACCTGTATGCTTCGCCCATTTTTAAAATGGATTTTTAGGAGAAACATTTCATTTATTGCTTGAGGTTACAAAATGTTGAGTATATGTCATGTTTCCATAAAGAATTGAGTTCTTGGAGCTCAGTGGTTTTCTGGTAACCTTAAGAAATCTTTTAAACCCATTAGGTAGGGCTGGTTAAGTTGTCCTTTGAGGAGAAGAAATTACTCCTTTATTCATACTGGATTCATTGTAGCAAATATTTGTGTGAGTACTGCTGGGTTTTGGGGTCATAAATATAACTCATACTCTCCCAAACCCAGAAGATCATTTCGGTGATATGGGGCACAGGAGACACTTAGTGTACCATCAATGGGTCGAAAGAGTCCTTGGATGAGATACGGGGACATTTAAGCTTCCAGGCATAACTCAGCAAGCCATTTCTATCTCCCCATTTTACTGTTGTAATAGTGTTTGGCTAATAGTGTAAAACCAGTGGAGATCCCCAGCATTCCAGTAGAAGTGCAGTTAAGTCTGGATTGTGTTTTAGCTGCTTCTCCCGTGTAATGTTGGGGATGATGGGGGGTTAGGATCCATGAATTCTCGTGTAATGTCCCTAAAGATAAAGAGGTAAAACCATTCTGTTCATTCTAAATATACTGCTGCAGGATGTGTAATCCTGAACAATCTTATTAAAGAAAGTGAATTCCTCACATCTGAAAATAGAGAAAATTTCTCTGTCATATCTCAGCTCTAGAGAGGATAAAATGAAATAAGAGACAACCAGAAACGATAAGGGCCCTGGAGTCCCACTGACTTGGTGCTGCTACTTTGTAGTCCTGGAGAAGGTACTTAAATGTCTATCAGTTTTCTCACACGTACAATGGATCTTCTCCCTGCCTTAGTGTTATTGCAAGGTTTAACAACTTTGTAGTACGCACGTTGCCTGGCATGGTAGAGATTCAGTAAATATACCTTTTCTAGCACCATCATGCTCCCTACCCTACCAATAGTGCCTTACAGACTTACGTATATTTGAGACTAGAATATTGTGAATTGTGGTATTGAATTTACGATAACATTATAGCATTTAAAAACGTCAAATTTGGCCTATGAGAATCTATATGTGGGTAAAGCACGAAATTTTAGCCTAATTGTCTTCTGTGAAAATAATTCTTTACAACGTAGTTCTTGTTCTGGCTTTAGTATTTAGAGATTTGACATTTTCTGGAATATGTATATGAAAAAATAATAGTATATTCAAATAGTTTCTACTCTGCTGTTAGCACTGTGGTGTTTTGGCAAGGCTCTTAGCATCTCTGGCCTTTAGTTCCCTCTGTTGGATGAAGGATCTTGACTAGACAATTTCCATTGTTGAGTTTAGCTAATATTTAAGAATCTTAAGAAGCCAAAATACTAAATTGTCTAATGCCTATTTTTATAGATATGCAGTCCCTCTAATTAAACAGATCACTCTTATTTTTTAGTAATAGTTTATAGTTTAGAGATATCTTTAGATACAGATTGTTTTATTCATTTAACTTGTCTCAGGGTAAAGAGGTGATAAATACTAGACAGTAAAGGAATTTTTTTACTTCAGACTCAGTATTTTATCGGAACAAACTGGAGTTTTTCTTTAAAAATTTTTTATGAATCAGAAGAACAATATACTTATTTTTAAAGAACATTTGAAATGATTAACAGCATATGTATAAGAATTGCAGTCCCTTCTGCTTGGAGATAATTAGTGTTAAAATTTTTTGATTTGTAGTTATTTATTGCAAGCTGATAATTCTGGAATTTAGATGTATTAATCACCAAATATTAATTTGAGGGGAAAGTTATTTTATAGTCTAATATATATATTTAACAGTTGTGATTCAGCGCATTGCTGTTTCAAAATGTAAATGACCAACTGAAAGCTATCTCAGCTTGAGTATATAAGGGTGTAAAAGTGCCATGAAGGCACTTAAATCTTTGTAAGGGGTCTTACTTTCCTGTCTGGCATGTATTGGGTTTGCTAGGACATTACTAATTAGTTCATTGTAGGTAGGTGAATAACATGCATGGTTTTACTCATGAACCAAGCAGATTACATTATTGTGTAATTAAATTGGCATGGCTTCAGAAGTGGTAACTTTTTAAAAATTATGGAGGGACAGTTCTGATAGTTGGATACCACTATTGGACTCTTGGTTAAATTATGACCTCCATGTCTCTACCTGGTCTTTCATTCATTTTAAAAGTTTTAGAAAACAGGGTCATACTGTTTGGTGTCCATTTTTTTAATCCATTTATTTTATTATTTTAAAATCCATTTAGAACATGTTTTCATGTTTCCAAATGAAAACTTTTTTTTCCTATTAAGGTATACATGCTGCTTGTGTGAAAACACAAGTGAATATTAAAAAGCATATAATAGTGAACATTTACAGCATTTACTATGTACCAGGCAGTGTTCTCAGTTCTTTGTTAACTTAGTCTTCATAAAGGGCCTGTTATTTCCATTTTACACTTGAGAAAATTGAGGCATACAGAAGTTAAAGGCCATACTCATGTTGGTTTATAAGTGTCTTTATAAGAAACCATTAGCTATTGAAGAAATTTGTTTTGCAGCCAGGACTTATCTTGTTTAAATGAAAATGGAAGGAAAGCACCCTTACATGTTGTTTTGCGAAGCCAGGAAAGGCCACGATGTTCCTAAGGTCACATAGTCAGGATGGGAATCATCTGTACGTTTTTATGACCATGATCGTAGATCAGATATCAAAAGGAGAAAATGTCTAAAAGAGAGGAACGCTAGGGGGCAGAGCTTCATGCAACAGCCATGGTTGTTTTGTTTTGTTTTTGTTTGTTTTTTGTAGGAGGGAAAGGGTAGTTAGAATGGTAGAGATTAATAGATTGCTGACCTAGGAAAAACCACCATTATCAGGGAAGAGATTGGTAGTGAAAAAGTTCAGTTTGGCAGTTATCTCCCAGTTGTGAAGGCAGCATTATAGAGATTCAAGAAACATGTGCTTGATTATTTAGAACATTAAAGTTTACATAAAATAGTAATAAGTAATCCAGCAAAAGGAGAAATAATCCAAGATACGTTGGAGAAATTATAGATTTCTGACTCAGGTCAATTCAAGAAGAAATTTTAAAGTGGCATTAAAAAAATACTGCAGGCAATCTCAGGATGCGGTGTTACTATTGAGGATATGGTTTGCATTTATAATCACTAGTAAGCCAAAGACTGAGTTCTTGTATTATAATCCGTTTTAAATGGATGGCACATATCTGGTGTTAGGGACCAGTTCTGTGTATTCTGTGTCAGACAGTAGAAACTGGCACTAATTAAATCTGTAGCATTGATGTAAACATTGAGCACTGACTTGTTTTCCTCTGTTGGAATGTGAATTCTAAATTTGAGAGTATTTTGTAACATGTACTAAAGGATTGGCAAATGAAATTATATGACTTTTCAAAAACTGTTCGATCACTAAAAATATGCTTACCATAAGTGCCTGTTTGTACACTTTGGTCTTAGAAAAATCTAGTAATTATACTTTGAATCCTTCAAGTTGCCCTGTTCTCTGCATTTCAGGTTAGAGTAAGCTCTCTTCCCTCCCTCAGTTGCTTAAGCCAATAGCTGGAGTCCTGCTCTTTCTTGGGGCTGCTATAAATAATCATGCCGCTTGTCGTAGCCTAGCATGTCAGTATGCTAAATATTTCTAAACGTTCTTGAGTGTATGAAGTTTGCAAAAGAGAAGTGGAGCCTATCCAACTAAGTGGTTTTCTAAACCTTTTCTCAGCAACAAAATCCTTTTTTTATGTGAAGTCAAGTAGAAGTTGCACTGTATAAAGTAGATAAAATCTCATATTTCTCTCTCTCCCATAGTGAAAAGGAAGAAGACGATAATGAAAAAAGAGAAGATCCAGGCGATAATTGGGAAGAAGGTGGAGGTGGTGGTGGCGGCGGTGGTGTAGAAAAATCTTCAGGTCCCTGGAATAAAACAGCTCCGGTACAAGCACCTCCTGCTCCAGTAATTGGTAATCTTAATATTTCATTTTTATAAGGGTGTCTATTTATGTATAATTTTATGTATGGTCAGCTTTCAACTAAAGGCATGCTTGTGGTAGGGTTAGTGGGGCTCCTTTCCATTCTTGGCAGAGAGATTTGTATATGTATGTTTAAAGACTTCCACATCCAAAGGAATTTGAAAGTTAAGATACATGGCTTTTCTTTTTTTACATACTTAACATTACTACAAACACAGTTGCAGTAAAAGGATCCATGCTGCCTAAATTTATATGTAAACTGGCCAAATTTAAATATTTAAGCATGTATTACAATTTTATACAGCTGACTAAGGAATAGTGGTACCTGTGTTTCACCTGTGGTCTTTTTCTTTTCCATTCCCCATTTTCCTGTCTTGAAGTGTTAATTCTCAGAAGAGAGGATTTTTATCACTCCCAAGGAGATAAAAAATAGTTCTTGGGGGATGAAGAAATCTTAGATCTTAAAGTGATTTGTGGCCCATCGGAGGGCCAAAGTATGTAAACAGACGTGCAGTGTGTGTCTGTGGAATTAACATTTCTTGGTGGGATCACAGTGGCGATTAGGAAACATGTTTAAAAAGGCTCCTTACGAGGACAATAATGAAAAAAGTTGTAGAAACATTGCTTTAATATATATGCATTATTTTATACAAAATAATATGAAGAATAACAAATCATCTCAAATCTTACGGCCCAGAGATCACAGATAACTACGTCGACATTTTTGCATTCTTTCTGGCCTTTTGTTATGTATATGTTTTTCCATTTAATTTTTTTTTTTAACTGCATCTGTCAGTGATCTCTCATGGTCTCTGCATTGCTAAATCTGTTGCTGATTTGCCCCATCAGCAGCGTTTGCCACAGTTGATTACCCTTTTGGAACACATTCTTCTGTTGGTTTTCAGGACACCACATTCTCCTACCACCGGTTGGTTGGTTCTCAGCCTCCCTTGCTATTACCACTTCTCCCCCTGCCCTCTACATGCTAGTCTGCTCCTGCACTCAGCCCTTTCTCCTCTGTCTGTCTACCCTCCCTCCCTCGGCAGTCTACATGCCAGCGACTTCTAAACTTACTTTATCAGCTCTCCTGAACTCCACACAAGTTTATCTTAACTGCCTACCCAACAAACATCTCAGCCTCAACATGTCCAAAACCGAACTCTTCATATATATTTGCCGCACCCCACAGCCTTTCTCATCTCATTGCTATGCTTTCAGTCACTTACGCCACAAACCTTGGCGTCATCTTTGACTCTTATTCCAAACCTAAATTTAATCTGTCAGTAATTTCTTTTTGGCTTTACTTTCAAAATAAATTCAGACCGTTTATATGACTAGTTCTCAGCAGTTCCATGGCTAACACCCTGGTTTCGAACTATCATTTTTTTAATGGATCCCTCAGGTAGCCCCTTATCTGGTCTGCCTGCTTCTCTTCATACACTGTTCCCAACACAGCCAGCAGCAAGAGTGGTGATCTTTTCAGATACGGCAGAGCACGTCCCTGTGCTGTTTGTTAACTTCCAATAGCATCCCTCTAATCAGAGTAGAAGCCTAAGTTCTCAGTGACTTATGGCCAGGCAGGCCATAGACACCTGCCTGGTGATTCCCCTTTTTTGTAGTTTGTCTTTTTGTAATCTGAACTTGCTCACCCTGCTGCTGCAGGCCCTTTGTACCGATATTTTCAGCCTGGAATTCTTTCTTTATATAGGCAGTTGGTAAGCTTTTTCTCTAAAGGGCCAGATAGTAAATAATTTAGGTTTTGAGGGCCATGCAGACTTTTTTTAATTTCTCAGCTCTGCTGTTGTAGCACAAAGCAGCCGTGGACACTACGTACACCTACTGTGTAGTTGTGTTCCAGTAAAACATTATTTACAAAATCAGAGTTGGACCGGATTCGGCTTGTTTGCCAACTCTAGATACGTTGGCCTCATCCTTTCAGCCTTTGCTTAATTTTCATCACTGACGACTCTCCGGAATCACCTTATTTAAAATCAACAGCCCTTTCTAGCACCTTCCTATCCATTTTGTGCTTGCTTTACAAACCCTTCCCCACTTCCAATTATTGGTATGGCACCTGTCTTTTTACATATTTTGTTTCCTCCTCCTACAATAGCACTGTCGAATAGTATTTTTTTGCAGTGATATAATAACACTGTTCAGTATAGTAGCCACTAGCCACATGTGTCTATTAAGTACTTAAAATGTGGTTTTAAAACACTGAATCCATATTGAAGATGGGGGAAAATGGTACATAGGAAAAGGCTAGAAGGCTGCCTTTTCAAAATGTTATCCATTGTGAAAGACTTTGGACTGCTCAGCTGCTTAATTATTTTCCATTTTACAAAAATAAAGAGGAAGAACCTTAAAACCCATTGACGTGGAAGACAGTGAAATCATTAAGATTATATCTAGTATTTATTTTTATTTTTTTGTTAGTCATCTTTACAATTAAAAAGAACTATGCAGGCATTCTATTAAATAAGTTCTCTACAGATGACATCTAATCCACTAACCAGGTAAAGAAATGATTATCCGCATTTACTGTTATGTAAACTGAGGACTAAAGTGGTCATACTCTGAAAGGCAATTCCTATGAGACCTGTCTTCCAAGTCCAGCAGATTCCTTCCCACTTCCAATTAGTTTACTTAACTTATTTACACAGGTAATTAAAATTGTACGTGGAAGAGAGGTTAGGGGACTACCCTAGAATATTTTCACTTTCAGACATTTCCTCAGAAAACAGAATTTCCTTCTGTTGTCCAGAGACCTTTCTTATGTCAGATACTGGTTTTATTTCTGTAATTGTTAAATGATAGATATTATAAGCCTAGCCTATTAAAATGCCAAGCATTGAACATTTCCTCTAAGCTGTTTTGAAATGTTAGTTACAGAAACCCCAGAACCGGCAATGACTAGTGGTGTGTATAGGCCTCCTGGAGCCAGATTAACTACAACAAGGAAAACACCGCAAGGACCACCAGAAATATATAGTGACACACAGTTCCCATCCCTGCAGTCCACTGCCAAGCATGTAGAAAGCCGAAAGTAAGTACTCTAATGGTCACATTTTGTTTTGGAGCCCTCTCTGTTCCTTGGCCGGGAATGGGATAGAGAAGATATAAAAACCTACCTAGTGTGTGTGTTTGGCGGGGGAGGGGGCGGTGTTACTCCTTTCTGGTAAAGCCCAGGCTGCATCTGACAGGCAGCTGATAATTAGGATGGGACTTATGTGCCCAGGAGAAGGGAAGGGCTCTGGAGGGGGCGAGAGGAAAAGGCACCAAAGACAAACTCTCTGCATAAGTTCCGTTATCCTTGGCTTATGTTCTGTAGCTATTAGAAGCCTCACCTAGTTAGAATGCTTTATTAAGCACATGTTGTTGGTTTATGTTCCATATACAGAAACTAAAAATGAAAGAACAGTATATTTCATTATATTCCCAGTTAATGTGAATAGACGAAAGATGTTGACATTTATAAATCTAATATTAAAATCTTATTTTAGCAGGTACTTAAAATGAATGCTACCTGGAGTTAAATGACCACATATGGCACATCCACGTCTTACTTAGGGACATGCATTTTTAAAGTTAAAATGGGAAGAAATATAAATGACATCAGATGGAAATACTGGTTTTGGGGGGTGCCTTTTAAAGTAAATCCCAGCCTTTTGCCTCTTTAAGAGCACAGCTGGCTTGAATTTGAACCTCCACCTGGACTTGCTCCTCTGCCCTGTCCTGCATAATGAGGAGCAGTGATCCACCACATTCACCGTTCCCTACCTGGTCCTCGCCCATAAAGGAGAAGTGAGGAGAAATCATTGAGTCATGAGCAGAGCTTTATTTGAATGAACAAATTGTCGCCCTTACGCATAAAAAGAGATGTATTGTCTGTTATTTGCTAAAATAAAAGTGAGTCTTAGAAGGAATCACCATATTACTCTATAGCTTTTTAACTTTCCAGTTGTCTTCAAGTTGGTCCCAAAGTAGGTTTGCAGATAATAGTATTCAGCAGATTTGCTACCACAGAAAGTGGGACCATAGAACTTATATTAACAATATTCTGTTTTCTGTTCAATTGAAGTCTTAAAAATGGTTTGATAAGGATTTTGTATACTAGTTTTCCTCTCTTATCTCTCCTTCAAGATTCTTCTAAGGGGTGGCTTTCTTTTTTTAATACAAGGAAGAATATTTTCAAAACAACCTCAAGAAATATTTACTGATTACATTTCTTTTCCCTTAGGGATAAAGAAATGGAGAAGAGCTTTGAAGTAGTAAGACACAAAACTAGAGGTAGGGATGAGGTTTCAAAAAACCAGGCACTTAAACTTCAGCTAGACAACCAGTATGCTGTACTCGAAAATCAGAAAAGCAGCCACACACAGTACAATTAAGGAATGGTCTTTCCTAACCCTTATAAGGTAACTAGACCACAGCTAAGCACCATGAACAGCCATTCGTCATCTGATCTCTGCTTGGATCTACAGCAACCGATGCAGACCACTCGGTATAAGTGACCGGCCCTATTGCACTATGGAAGTTTAAAGTGTCAGAGCTGCTCTTTATATTGAATTTAGGGGGCTTTTCATTGTTATAAATGTGAAGTAGG